ACACACCCTGGTTGTAGCAGTGCTTTTGCAAGAAAGTGTGGTCTCACAGAACATATGCGCACTCACACAGGGGAACGTCCTTACGCCTGCACACACCCTGGTTGTAGCAGAGCTTTTACAACCTCTAGTCACCGCACAGTACATATGCGCACTCACACAGGAGAACGGCCGTATTCTTGTATGCACCAAGGTTGTAGCAACACTTTTGTATCCCGTACTGCTCTGGCTTACCATACACGCACTCACACAGGCGAACGTCCTTACGCATGTAACCACCCTGGGTGTACAAGGACCTTCATTCTCTCCAGCTCGCTTAAAATTCACATGCGCACTCACACAATTGTACGGTAGTGTCCTGGATGCGACACCGTCGAGACATATCATTTTATTGACAACACAGCTACGCACACAGGCACAGGGACCGAGTTTACGGTGGTGCGTTCATGAAGTGAGGTACGCTGCAACTACCACTTCCCAATGTAACAGAAGAAGCATTTGCTCTTTAAAGACATTCTGCAGCAAAGACCACCTTATTACTATAGTCATACGCGGCACCGATGGGTGTCCTGGAGGCAATTTTACTAATAAAGACCTTGACATTGCATATAAACATACTGCGAAAATATCAGTTTTAACTGTTCAAGTTCAAGATAAGTATACTTGAGACAAAGTGTACTTATAATTAACCATAATCGAGATCCCGGACTTTGTGGGACCGGGCGGCGAGCCCGGGTATGATGCCATTGACACCCCCGACTCCGTGGCAGAGCCTGAAGGTCCAGACGGTACGCGGGGTAAGAACGGCGGGCTGGATATGCGGTACCGAACATTACATATAAACATACTGCGAATGTAGTCCAGTTGTTAAGTGTTCAAATTCAAGGCCACGGGTGAGCCCAGCCCAGTCGTCTCACTATGTCATGAGCACTGCTAATGTACTTTGTTAAGACAGCCGATAAATGTATCCGATTAGGTTTGTTTGGCTCAAAGCGCCTGTCACGGCACTATAAGCAGCTCCGGCAGTACTAATATATATATATATATATATATATATATATATATATATATATATATATATATATATATAGTAGTACGTACCGTAACCGTAACCGTAACCGTAC